GATGACTCCTCGGGTGGGGAGCTCCAGGCAGGTGGGTCTGCTTCTGGCCATGCATCGATCGTGACCGTCGGGAGGTTCAGCGCTTGCAGGAACTTCGGTAGATCAGTCGGGGATCTGAGGACATATGACCTGCCATCTTTCCGTGCCACCAGATGAAAGGGGTAGCCCCACCGGTACTGGATGGCCTGCTGTTGGAGCAATTGCGTGAGGGGTTTGAGGGCCCTGCGTCTGGCCAGGGTATTCCGGGAGAGGTCAGGGAACAACAATATTTGCGCACCGTCAAAGTCTATGGGGCCTCTATCCCTTGCCTTGGTGAGGATGGCCTCCCGCTGTTGGAAAAAATGCACCCTGCAGAGGACGTCTCTAGGCAGTTGCTGGGCGGAGGTGCGGAAGCCGGGGACCCTATGAACTCTGTCCAGTTCTAGGGGATGGGTGGGTGGGTTACCCAAGAGCATGTTGAAAATGCCCAAGACCGTGGCTTTGAGGTCTGCTAGGCCCGTTGCCTCAGGGATGCCCCGCAATCTAATGTTGTTGCGCCTATGACGGTCCTCCTGGTCGTCTATGCGGAGAGACAGGTTGAGCAGGGTGTCACGCTGTCTGCCTACCTCCTCCTGTAATTGCCGGACCGAGGATGACACCGTTGCGGTCGCGGATTCCACCACCTCCAGCCTGCGTCCAAAGCCTGCCAGGCCCTCCTGGAGCGCTGTCATATCATGGCGGTGAGAGGCCTCCAGGCGCGAGAACATGCCCTCCAGTTCCGACTTCGTGGGCAACATAGCAAAATATCGCTGGAACATGTCGTCGTTCCGCAGTGACGCGCTGTCATCCCCGGTCATGGAGGAGTCCGAGTCCGCCACAGGCTGCTGGTGAAGAGGGGAGGATGCCTCGGAGTCAGGCGGGTCCCCGGTCTCGAGGCCTAGTCGCGGTGAGGCCGCGTGGGAGCCCGAGGGGCGGAAGAAGGCGCCTATGGACGGGATCAGAGCCGGCGGAGTATTCCGGGCTCTCGCCTTAGCTCCCTTCTTGCCCGTTCTGCCCATGAAGGTGAAAATTAGGGTACGGGTGAGTGTTCCTGAGGCTCGTTCCTGGGAAGATAGCCGGAGCTCTCACTCCATGCGACCGTTCACGTCCGTGAGCAAGCCACGCCCCCTCCTTGCCTTAACTTAACAGATCATCTTGCCCTGTGCTGTGCGCTAAAAGTTAACCTAATCCCTAACAATAGCACTTAAAGTGACATGAAACCCTCAGATTTGTTAACATAAACCAATACTGTAATGTGTGCCTTACTGTAATCCATGGTAGTTTCCCTTCTCTTTGCTGCTCTTTCTTTTAAATCTGTATCTCTTCTCATGCTTGGGGAGAACTTCCCTTTGCAGCTGAGTGCCTCTTCCTGTAGTGCTGGCTGAGGTTGTGAACCTTCACACAGACACCATGTATCCCTTTCAGAGACAAGGCAGTCTGCTGCAAAACAGAAGTTCTGCCCAGCATGAGAACAGATACGGATTTAAAAGAAAGAGCAGCAAAGAGAAGGGAAACAACCATGGATTACAGTAAGGCACACATTACAGTATTGTTTTATGTTAAAAAATCTGAGGGTTTAATGTCACTTTAGCTCCTGTGCAACTTCCTTTAGACCTATCAACATCTATGTAGGACAAGGGCCTGCTTGACAAGATACAAATTGATTGAATAGTTTAGGTAGGTCCTCATATTATGTATGTTTGGTTAATCTTCAGTAGATTGTACAATCTTTGAACAGGTAGATTGTCAAGTGTTTAGTGAGCTTACAGGAGATTTTACAAATGAATGGGAATGCGTGTGGACTCCTAGTCCGAAACAAACTGCTCCCCCAAAAGTTTAGTATTTCAGTGTTACAGCCAATTTAAAGTTTATTAAACCCTCCCACATATATGCAAAACTATTAAAAAAATAACTTTTTCAAAGGGTTAATACTTACCTGTGTCTCCGCCGCGCGCTCTCATCCGAACATCTGAAAATTTATTGGGAGGCCGCACAGGATCTTGGGGCGGGTGCATGCACAGTTCAGATGTTCGGCCGGGAGACGAGGAGAGACACAAGCTAAGTATATGGAGCAGCGTGCACCCGCACAGACTCCGTGGGACATGAGAGAAGAGGACAGAGGAGTCAGCTCTGGATCGGAGACCAGCACCAGCGCTAGAGGGACATCTGAAAACTACACTAGAAGAAGATAATCGCATTAAGAGGTATCATTTAGGGTAAGTCCTTACACTAACATTGGGGGGAGGGAAATAAATGAAACTTTAATGTCACTTTAAGATTCATACAGACAGTATTCAAGATAAGTGAGCAAAATGGTTTAGTCATTCAGTGTTACAGCCATCTACTGTAATCTGTTATGGAAATGAATCCTCTGTAGCACAGGGTGAGGTTTAGATTGAGCATGCAGGCTACAAATCTCAAACAGCTTTCATTGCACCATGACCGCTCATTAATTGTGCATGATGGTTGCCCCAGATTTAAAATGTATGTAAACCCTAACATGTAGTACAAGGGCCTGCTTGACTGGATACAAATTGATTGAATAGTTTAAGTAGGTCCTCATGTTATGTATGTTTGGTTATTCTTCAGTAGATTACAATCTACCTGTTCAAAGGTTGGACAAAGTGAGCTTATAGGTCATTTTACAAATGAATTGGAATGTGTGTGGACTCCTAATCTAAAACCAACTGCTCACCCAAAATTATGGTTTAGTCATTCAGTGTTACAGCCATTTAAGATTCATGCAGACAGTATTCAAGATAAGTGAGCAAAATCGGTTTACCATCTACTGTAAACTGCTATGGAAATGAATCCTCTGTAGCACAGGATGGGGTTTAGATTGAGCATGCAGGCTACAAATCTCAAACAGCTTCCATTGCACCATGACTGCTCATTAATTGTGCATGATGGTTGCCCCAGATTTACAGTGTATGTAAACCCTAACAGCAAACTTCTCTTATTTGGACCCTTTTGGTCTGTTAAATATACCAATAAAAAGTGTTTTGTTGTATCTGTTTGACCCTGACACTCTCTAAATGCCTCAGGTTTTGTAAGAAGGCAGTGCAAGGAACAAGACCATAAACACAGAGGGGTGGGACCTGTTTTTTTCTGAATGAACTCTTAAGAAAAGGATTTAACAGTGAGTACACAAATGTTCTTTCTTGTTCATTAAGACACACAGGATTCTGAGATATTTGGGATATCCAGATGCAGTCCAGCAAACAGGCCCACTGAAAAACAAAGAAAAACAACATATCAGAACTGTCTTTACAAGTCACCTAAAAGTGGTGGAGCGAGAAGCTGATTCCCCTTTGTGGGGAACATCTGAAATGACAAACAGAGAAGATGTCTAACGGAAGCAGGGGCCGTGAAATAGATTCGTACAGCATTAACTACATCTATACAATAAGGGGAAATCTCATTCTGATGTACTGGAGCCAGACGGAGAGATTCAAGAACAATGTCCTGGTTAAGGTGAAAAGTTGAAACCACCTTAAGAAGCAAAAAGGCTATAGGACTTACCACTGCCCTGTCTATATATAATACTAGGAAATGTTCTTTACAAGACAAGGCTGACAGTTCAGACATGTGTCCCCAGCAGAGGGGATGGCAACAAGGAAAACAACCTCGCAAGAGTGGAAAAGGGAATATCCCCGATAGATTCAAAGGGTGGTGTTTAAAGCATTAAGAGTATCAAATTCAGATCCCAGGGGGAGATGGGTGAACGTACAGGGGCAGTCACATGAAAAACACCCTGTACAAAAGTCTTAATTGAAGAACGGGAGGCTAGGGGCCTCTGGAACAAGATCATAGGCACTTAATCGTCTAAATTCTGGTCCAGACCTAACTGTAAAAAAGGACAGGATACCCCAAGGAATATTTTCTGGGATGAAAAGATTCCTTCCTTGCAGCAAGCTAAATAAGTCTTCCAAGTACATTGGTAGACCTCTTAGGAAGTGAACTTCCTAGCTTTTAGCATCATAGGATGCACCAATTCAGAAAGGTCCCTATCCTTCAAGACTCGGGCTTCAGCAGACATCCCATTAAAGCCAGCAACCATGAATCAGGAAGGTAAACTGGTCCTTGAGATTGAAGATCCTAGCAATGTGAAACCACATAGCATCTGGCAGGAGTCTGATCAGGTTGGAGTACCACATACGCATGGACCAGTCCAGAGCCATGAAGATCAACAGAATGTCTTTCATCTCAATCCTGCAGAGCAGACAAGAAAGGAGTTTTAGGGGAGGAAAAGCATAAATCAGGCTGTAGTGATTCCATGAAGCCAACAGAGCACTTACTGCTTCCACCAGAGGACCTCTACACCTACAGACTAACCTCTTCTGTTTGTCTTTTTGAAACCTGGAGGCCAAGAGGTCCACATCTAGTTAAAGCCCGAAAGCAGCACAATTAGCTATTCTTGGCCTTCGGAAGAGGGGATGAGTCTTTTGAGCTTGAGGCTTGGGCTTCTTTTGCTGGTGGAGAGAAGTACTTTTATCCCAACATTCTTGATTAGGGTGTTCAATGCATCTCCAAAAAGACGTTGAAGGACATGTGCTGAAGACACTTTTTACATGCCTGTTCTGCAGACCAAGATTTAAACCATAGAGTTATCTGCATGTTCACTAATAGGATCCTCATTCAGGAAATAAGACAGTAGACAACTCGCCTACGCAGTAGTGTAGGGCAGTCAACATGAGCTTTAAGTCCTAAGCACAAATAGAGGATCAACATAAATGGAAACTGGATCCTTTTTGAGTTTAATCCATTCCTCTAATGTTTGACATACTAAAGATCACAGCCATGGAAGGTTGCAATGCAGTACCTGCCAGAGAAAACAAGGTTTTTGAAAGAATCCTTAAGCGCTTATCAGTGGGATCCTTAACTACTGGCACATCCTCTACAGGAATCGTCAGCACTGTGTTGAGCTGTGACCCTGTCGGATCAACAGTGGGAAGAGCCCATTTGTTAATAACGGCCTCCTCAAATGGATATTGGGCTGCAAAATGCTTAGGAGATCTGAACAGTTTATTAGGAGTTTGCAAGTCTGGAAATGTTTCTGAAGTCTTAGGAACTCTAAGGAAACCCAGACTAGTAGAAGCTACGCATAGGCTTTTGCCATGGCTCTGGACCTGTAAAGTGCTCTTTAACTGCAGAGAGTTTAACTAACCGAAAGTGCCAAATACAGAGCCCAGTGCCCGGGTCACATTCCAGGCAGCCCTGCAATCGTCCATTCTAGTGGGATCGAAGTCTGGCGTCCAAAGCTGTTATTTATGCCATTCCGGATAGCTGCATAAAGAGCCTAGCTCGAGCAGTGTGTGCAAATAAGTCTTTACTGAAAAAAAAATTCATCACAGAAAGAAACAAAATGGCTAGTCAAAATGGTTGAACTTTTCTCCTAAGAGAAAAGATGTAAATCCTCTAAAGGCACTAGCAAAAAACTAAGTCATATTGAGAGTGGTTATGCCAGACTGATCACTGTTTTTTTGTTTGCCAGTGTCCAAACTCTCCTGAAAGTGGCAGTATAACCTAAATGTCTCTGAATCCTGTGTTTGTCAGTCCGCCTATGAATGAGAAAGAAATACCCTATTTATTTATTTTGCCAGAAATCTTGGAAGCTGCTAACTTCCTGTGCTCTCTGCCTGTAGTGACTGTTATCAATCACATTGTTTCATTGTTTTCAAAGGACTACAGAACCAAGCCTCTCTATGTTATAGACAATAGGAAAGGGGAAAGGTTCCACAGGGCTTTTTTTTATCTGTTATCCTGATATTGGTTGTTGTCATCCAAGGATGGGAAGTGTGTTAGTGGCAGAATCACCAGGTCAAAAAAAAAGGAAAAAAGGCTCTGAAAAAATAATTAAAGCATCGACCACATCTAAGGACTTGGGTTTAGATACCCTCTAAATCACCTCTGCTAAAAGCTCTATTGGAGCAGCTGGTTTTTCACTGTCACTCTCATCTTCATCACTAGAAGACTCCTGAGGCTGCTCTGTTCTGTTTGGATTATGAAGGGCTGCTGAGTGGACCTCTGTGGACTCTTTTTCAGCTGCAGAAATAAAAACAGGTAAACATTTGTGATTACAGCAACAGTAAGGCATTCGGACAGTTTTTATTATACCACTATACTTATAATAAAAAGTTATATCAAAGTAAGGTGAGTTTTAAAGCACATAAAGAGCGTAGGTTAAGTTACAAGTTTAAATTCTATGTACCCAAAAGTGGACAAAAATTACCAATGTTTGTTGGCTCAGGTTCCTTTTGTATAGGGTCAGCGTCTATCTTCTTTGAATCCTTGAAGCTGGCTACATTATGATCTGGAATGTTGCTGCTATAAACAATAAGCTTGAGTTAGATATTCAGTAGTTTTATTTATGATGTTCTATAACCACCACACTAACTGTTGCTTGTTGCATATTTAGGCCTCCAGCTCTTCACAAAAGTCAGTGATATGCAATATAAGTTAAAAAGTTTGCCACCTGACCATCACTCCTACTATATGGTCAAAAGTATGTGGACACCCCTCCAAAATACAGTTTGTGTTTTACAGTGAAGTAAACTAAGCCTTCTGACCTTGTGGCAACAGTCAATGGAATGTTCTTTTCTGTTTCAGCATGACTGCACAAAGCCAGGTCCAAAAAGACCAGACAAGTCTTGGCATGGAGGAATTCGGGCGGCCTGCACAGGGCCCTGACTTTACTACCCTACTGAACACTTTGGGATTAATTGGAATGCCAATTGCTTCTAGTCCCACATCAATACCTGATTTCACAATGGTCTGTTGACAGAATGGTCTCAAATTCCCCCATGTCACACTCAAATAGATTGTTACAAGCCTTCCCAGAGTAGTACAGGCTGTTGTAGTTGTAGGCTCTTATAGGTGTGTAAGTGTGATAGTCAGGTGTCCACAAACCTTTGGCTACATAGTGCAAGTTTACAAGCATTGCAACGAGCAGCTTAAAAATACATACAACTAAGCATTCCTTCTTCACAATGGAATGCAACATAACCAACTTACATAATTATGCAAATTGTATTAATGTTTATATTAATCTACATCTATAGTACTATTGTATTACATAATTCCTAGTCTAAACTGCAGCATGTAGCAACAGAAAACACTATACTATACTATACCTGGGTGCCATAGGCTTTACTGTACACAGTGAGATTTGCTTTATTGGTGAACAATATCTCCTTGCAGCTGACTCTTGTCTACCAGGGGAACTCCCAGGCCTGAATGAAGGAAATATTTTATATAAGCCTTACATTTACAGATGGCATACGATGTGTGTATATATATATATAGTATAGTGGTTATGCTTCAACACACAACTACTGTACACATTATATATTTATTAGCTACCAAACTGTAAAGGTACCTCAGCACCCTTAGGCAACAGCAACTAATCACTAGGAAACAATCCAAAAGCTAAGATATTTTGTGCGCTAGACATGTATAATATGATTGTATCCTAAAAAGTTAAGTGTAAGCTGTTATAGGTAGAACAAAGAGTACTGACATCTAAACTATATAACATGCAATTTCACAAATGAAACAACCTTTTTTGTGGAAAAGGGTTTTACAACATTTACTGTTCACTGTTCCCGTTCACATGGATTTTGCAATGGCTCTTACAGTCATACGCATATGGAAGAATTGAAAAAACAAATTAGAACCTGTGCATGACCAAAAGCTAAGGACGTGTATGTCTAGAACCAGGAAACTATCTGCATGGAGTTTGCAGGTTCTATCTGTGTTATGTGGGTTTTCGGTTTCCTCTCACACTCCAAAGACATGTTGGTAGGTTAACTGGCTCTAGTATAAACTAGTATGCGTGTACATGCGAGATAGGAACCTTAGATTGTAAGCTCTTTGAGGGCAGGGACTGATGGGAATGAATAGTATGTAGTATTAAATTGATGGTGCTATATAAATACCTATAAAAATAAAGTATAGAAAAGCTGTCACTGACAACTTGCATAAAAGGCACAAACTCCAGAGCTGTTATCCTTCTCCTCTCTTTACAACTTTGTGAGTCACTGATCTGAAACAAGTATGTCAATGAGTTCCGACTTCACTGGCAGTTCCACATCTCTATCTTTGAGGCATTATAATGAAATTGTGAGTACATGCCCAGACACAGTATGCCCCGAAGGGACTATTCACATTTGTGTATATGTAGTTATATGCAAAATTTTTTATATTGCATGCAACTGCACATGTTTATGCATGCTTCTGTGAATTATATGTGCCTATTTTGTGCATTTTATATGCATGTATGTTTGCTCATTCATTATGCAAAGTGAGGCAGAAATATTCGTGATCAGAAGTTTCCATTTTGCAAATGCTTGGTACATTTCATTTCAGTGGGTCTGTTTAAAGGAGAACTATGGGGTCAGGGCTTTTCCCCATAGTTCACCTAAGGGTAACGGGAGGACACAATCTAGCGTCCTCCCGTCACCCAAAGCTCAGTATACCGCGAGCTCCCGCTAGCAGTATACTGAGACGCCACAGCCTGAATGGATTCTGACAATTCTGTCTAGAACCACCCAGCTGCGTGAGTGACAGTTGGCTCTGCCTATCTAGAGGCAGAGCCAGCTGTACCCGCCCCCTCCCCTGTCCGTTCCACCAGTCAGCGTTGGAGGATCGGGGAATCCCTGCAGTGAGCCATGAGTGACAATCACGGCTCTCTGCACAGATAGACCGAGAAGTGAGCATGCAACGGTATGTGTTCACTCACTTCCGGATCTACTGAGCCGACCTGTGACAGTTTCATTGTCACAGGTCGGCTCAGATTATGAGGCTGAGTGAAAATCACTCACCTCATAGTTCTCCTTTAACACTTGGGGGAAAAAATGCAGTAGGTTCTATATTTTAAGAACACAGATTAGCAATCCTCTCAGCTTTGGAAACCGACTAAAGTAGGGTATAATCGGGTAAAATTTTTGCATGAACGTTTGTATGAAAAATACTGTCGGAACATTCGACACTGGCATCAGAAACTTGCCAATTGTCATTCGAAATTTAATTTAATTTTCTTTTTTATTTACCATCTATTTTGTAATAAATGGAGTTTCTGAACGAAAACCACATTCACTGTTAGAAATTCATTCGGTCGAGAACATTTTTCCAACATGCTCCTTTGAAAATTTTGGGAACATTGTCGTTTTCATGTATCAATTGCACCGTAATTAATTGATAGATATTCAAATGCATGCTTCGAAAACTACTACTTTCGGACGAAATTCGAACCGTGTATACTCTACTTTAGCGTCTGTCTACACCAGTTTTTCTTTGAATCAGAAATGCTAAAGCTGTTCACATACAGGTCAATGGGAATGCAAAATCAGCTTAAAGGAGAACTATGGGGTCAGTGCTTTTCCCCATAGTTCTCCTAAGGGTCACGGGAGGACATAAACTAGCGTCCTCCCGTGACCCAAAGCTCAGAATACCGTGAGCTAAAGCTAAAAATTTGTAGCAAAAGGTCTTTCAACCAATCAAGCATCTCCAAGGTCTACTGTTCTGATGAATTTTAAAAAAACTTTTTGATTTTTTATATACATTTTTGTACTTAGTTTAGGAAAAGCCGTGTTATGTTTAATGCAGTCCTGTAATTTAGTGTTAGGTAGGACTAGACACAAAGACATTACATTATATAGTCCTGCCAATACATAGCTGGCTAATTGTTTGGTACAGTTATGTTCTGTGACTTTGTCACTAATGATCTGCTTAGGAAAGAAATCAATTCCCACACAGGATCTGCGCCATTGACTAAGAAATGAAGATAAATTAAGGAGGTCGAGAAACACGCAAACATGTAAATTTTATGCAAACAGCAATGTCTGGAAACTTCACAGCAATATTTCTTGTACCAGCCTGGGAAGCATGTTGAAGTACTATTGCCAAGTGTTCTTCCTTTACAGCTTATTGAGCTCCGGATATATAAAACTTCAGTAAAAGTAAACCTGTAAACCTTTTTTTTAATACTAGGTAAAGCAACAGCTTCAACATATAGAGCTGACCATAAGCAGGCATTAATTACCTTCTCCGTGTTCTCCTGCCACGCCAATCTGCCTCCAGACCAGGTAAGTTCGGGCATTACAGTACAGGTGACACTTCGTCCGCCTTCACATGGGGATAGTGCAACTTTAAGAACTTATTGGTCAATTACCAGACCTGATCACTGTCATGTGGGTGTGCAAAGGGGCATGTATAGTCTTGTGTAAGCTACTACTTGCTCAGAAAGGCAAAGCTCCTCTCCGGCCAGTGCCCCCTCTACTAACTAAATGACAGAAATACTCATGTACTGTATATCCACCATCGTTTGATGCTCCAGGTCCTGAGTACTTTTTCTTTCTTACTGCGGAGTGAAAGGTTCTTCTTTGGGTGCCCATGTTGCTGCCTGGTGAGGTTGGCAATACCCAATGGCTGTCTTTCAGCAGGGTCCCCAGAGTGTCCTGGAGAATGCAGCAATGGCTTGATGACATAATGGCGAGGGGCAGCAAAAGGGACTGGTTTGAGGAGGGCCTGCAGTGCTGGATCATAGATACTCACTAGTAGAAGAGGCGCCATGAAGGATCATATGATCACGGAATTAGACAACATAAAAGGGGCTTAGGAGACTTTTATTATTTTAAAAATGGTGAAAGGAGGATGGCTTTGTTTTTGCCTAGAGATAAGCTTTAAAAACGTATAGAGGAATCTCTTGCAGTCTGGTGGCAGGTGTGGAAGGCACTGGAACATGGGAAAGGTAAGTACTATGAGCAAAATACAGGTTTAGTATGTAAATATTTAAGTGTATACTACTGCATATTGTGCTAAAATATATTATATTAAGCATTTTAGAGCTTTATTAAGCATTGGGCTGTTGCTTCACTCATAGATGTATCCACTCCCCTCTTGGTCTCTCTTTAAATAAAAGGTAAAGATGCAAATTGCTGTCGGAATCAGGTTTCATGCAATTAATCACCGTAAAATAACAACCTAGTTCAGGTGCATTAAAAGTGTGCTATAGATCTGTTAAAAATCTATCAAGGAAAGTGATTGGCTGTTATAGGTAACATAAAATATCCCTAGCATGTTCTTTATGTGTGAGGCACATCATGTTTTGAAAGTGGGAACCTGGCATCTGATGGAATATGTCCTCTTTTATAAGACCTACAGCTGTTGCCTAGCACAAACACATATCTTCCATAGTTTCTGATTTACTGGTCTGCAAGCTTTCATTAATTAGTATTGTTCACTGGAAATGATGGTTTAGCTCTTAAACATTTCATGTTACTGGAAAAGCAATGATTAGTTGGGACAGAGCACACAAGTTGGGTCCCAAAGCTGCAGAACAGTTAAAAAATGGGGTCCTTTCTTTTAACTTTTATGTGGTGATCCTGCCACAAAACACATTTCTAAGCTCTCTCGTCATGCTGCATCTATAGAGGAGCAGTATTGTCACTGATCTGCCAAGTCTATAAAACAATTCACGTAATTTTGTATTGATGTGATGTCTAGATTGCTTGATCAGTTTGCCTTAAAGACTTCCCAAACGCCAACCACCTAGGAGGACTCAACCCTTAGACATAACCCTTGTTTATACAAGTAACGCTTGAGCATGTTTGCCAGTATTTGCCTGCACAAAGTACTAAACACATCTCACAACTGTTCTGAACCTTCACAATATCACTTTCTCATAATTTTTTCTTACTCCAGCCTCAAATCACCTTGTTCAACCATCTATACGAGTAAAGAACAGCTGTCAATGAACACATCATGCACCACAGCACCAGATCAGGGATTATATGCATCTTTAAACCCAACCTGTGCCGCTGAAGGAATACATGTGGCCAACAGCTGCTATAAGAGGGTTGTCTTTTCTATCTTAACAGGGTAATAGCTGCAAACACCCTGTCTTGGGTAAAAAGAAATAAAAAAAAAAATCAATTTCTTTGACACAGAGAGAGAGCTGATCGTCAGTAAGGAGAAATTCAGGTTTTGCAGGTAGCCTTCAGTCAGATAAAACACTGGGTAGCAACATTAGACAATTACTGTGCCACAGTCTCATGTCAAAAGTCTGCATCTATTTTATACAGCAGGCAGATTCATCAGTACGTGTAGGAATTAGGATAGGGCTTACAGAGACTAAGACAATTGTTTTATGCCAACTAACAGGCAGGACACTATGTAAATAGCAAGGCTGTTTTGTTCTGTCATAAGATAATAAATAAGCATCTGTCTCCGAGCTAGTCGAACTCGCTTCTGAGCCTCCACTGTGCACATGTTTATGGCTTGTTTGAATAACCATAAAGTAAAGTAGAAATAAACATTTACTTATGTAAAATTGTAATGCTATTGTTCCATGGCGGTGCCATTTGCCACATGGTTTGTCAAAAGAACTTTTAAGTGCAGGTGTGCCCAAACTTTGAACAGGTAAGTGCTTACCCTTTGTCAGGAACCGGATCGGAACCCAGGGCCTCTGCTGTAGCTGGCAGTGGTTCTACCTGCTGAGCCACCTTGGAATCTTGGACAGCTCCTTGCCTGATCTCTTGTGTAATCTTCAGTTAAACCTAGTTTTTAGGATGAATTACATTACACTAGCTACAGCTACAGAGATCAGTGCGGTCTTGTTTGTATGCTATTTTACTACTTGTTAAAGTGAAATTTAAGTGAACAATTAAAAAATCCTAACAGGTAGGCTTAATATGACAGACGAGATTGTGTAAGTCTCTTGTCTCATACATCTTCCGATCTGCCTGTCAGCACTTTTTTTTTCTGTGCATGTATGTGCAGGGACAAAGATGAAAGCACTGGTGAGGGGCAGGGGCCTGCACATCGCAGCGCTGTAAGGGGTTGCTTTGGCAGGTACGTCTGCCATACTGTGCTTATATGCCGGGCATTGTAGCACATTGTGTGGCTAAAAAACTCCTGGGGGGCTTTTTTCTAAGGTACTTTACGAATATGTAAATACTTTAAATGCATAGTATGGACACAGGTGCACTTTAATTGTCCTCATTGTTGATTGACAGAGCCGTAAACACCATGCAACCCTAGGCGTATTCAAATAATGACGGCCTTTTATAGAATCTATGTCTCTCCTACCATATAATTATTTTAGTAACAATTAATATTAGAATTTTCTGTTGGAGAAAGCATGCGGTCTGCTTTATATTCCAGCTTCTGCTCAGGTCATCAAGCGAAAAGGTAGATGATTGTATCTTTCTTGAATAATAGTGGAGTTTCTGAATTAACATCCCCTACGCACTGTTTCCTCTATAGTTCATTTGTTCATTTGTCTATAAGTGACCAAAGGAACTTAACAATATAAGAAAAAAGATGCACATTTTTGAAGCTTCATTTACACCTTACCCTGCTATCCTAGGCAATATTAATTAATATGAAGAAACAATAGTGAACACTAAGTGACATTATTAAAGTGCTTTTATATAAGCTGAGTTAGATGCACGGTTTGTGTTTGCATTGTGAGGTTATTAAATATTTTCTGCAATAATGTACTTCCACCATTCTATCAAAATGAAAATAACATACCAAAACTCTTTATGTAATAGTGTAAGTACTACCCCATATGAATATCTTTGTATGCTGTGACATTACCAGTACACTTCACTGGAAAGACGTGAACTGAGTTTTTGTCCGCGGGGTGTCCGCATGCTTTTGGCAACAAAGCACCAAAAAGTGAAGAACAAAAGCTACATTAGTCTAGTTGGCACCAACATATGTAACTTACTCAAATGCAACATTCACTAAAGCATGTAGATACTAACCCTTGTCAAGTATTATATATTTCAAATTATTACCAATAAAATATAACTGCAAAATGAACAAAATTATTTATAATGAGAACCTATATCTAGCTTATGTTTATGACTAAGTATGCAACAAATGGTAACCTACCGTGATGCAGATTCAGCAGAATGAATAAACACATTTTCTGGGAAGTTAAGAGAGAAAACAATTTAATCATTTGTTTAACTATGCATAAGACATACAAAGAAAATATCTGTAGTGACTAATAAGAAAAAATTGTTTTGTCATTTCAGCATAAGTTTATAAAAGCACATTAACATAAACTGGAATTTTAGCCAAAACAATGAAATGCAAAGCTGAAATACATATACATTAAAGACCTGGCTGCCTGTCTGACTCGAACACCCATGCCACACTGTCTATGAGTTGTGGTACAGCTCTACAGAACTTACTTTCTCAATGGACTATGAAGAATTCTCTCCCACTCTGGTGGCTTCCCCCCTATTATAGGCTCTTTCCTATAACCCCTCTAAATTTGCCCTAAAACCTTAATTTAACCAACTGAAACAAAGTAGACTGACAGCTCTGTAAAATGTAAGATAAACAGGGTTATTCACAAAAGGGTGAAGAGTTTGGAGAAGGCAGGAGAAGCTATGTTGTCCTAGATTGTTCACTTCTCCTGATTTCTCCAAACTCTTCACCCTTTTGTGAATAACCCTGATAGTCTTCATACAACTACTTGCTACAGTCACCAGTGAAGGCACTTCCACTCTAAAGTTGGCCATACAATGTTTTATTTTTTCACTCAACCCTTGGGTTGAATGAAAACAAAAAGAGCAGATTCCTCCATCAACGCTTGTAAAAGCTGCCGGCCGCTGCTACAACACCAGTATACAGCTGGCAGCTCATTGGCTGCCCGCTCTGTTCATTTAAAGATTCATCAGCTGATCAAGGTATGCCGGCCAAAGGGTGGCGACAGCAGCACCCACTGTGCAAATTTTGGAATAGTGTATGGCCAGCTTTAAGCAAGCCATACATCTTAAGATTTTTCTCATTCTTCTTCTTTCTCACTGAACAAGAAAAAATAATTGATTCCCCCATCCACGGTAAAGAGCGGATGTGGCAGAATTTCCCCTGCTTGGGATAGTATTATGACAGCTGGTATGCGCATCTGTCAGAATACCTGAACAGTGACTGCAGCTCAAATCAATGCACTGAAAGTCCAAAAGCTTTAAATAAAGGTGTTCACTCAGGAAGACAACAGGATTTGGGGGCTCAGAGATTTTTGATATTTGTGAGGACTCAGAATGGAAGAATCACCAGAATTAATCATCTGAGGGATAAAAAAATGGAAGGGGGGATAGAAGCAGAAAGCAGCAGGAGCTATTGGTTACAGTTACTCTTCAGCCAACAATTTTTCACCCGGCCTCTTTGACAAACATCGATTGCATGGTTCTAGCTGTTTAGTGTAACTCGCTGCTCGCGGTATACCGAGACGCCGCAGCTGAAGCGGATCCCGACAATTATGCCGGGATCCGCCCAGCTGCGTGACCGACAGCTGGCTCTGCCTATCTAGAGGCAGAGCCAGCTGTACCCGCCCCCTCCCCCGTCCGTTCCGCCAGTCAGCGCTGGCAGATCGGAGCGGGGAGGGGGGAATCCAGCCCCTCCCCCTGTCACGGCAGAGAGCTGTGACAGGATTGAGAGGTGAGCGAACGCCGGTATGTGTTCGCTCACCTCCCGATCTACTGAACCGACCTGTGACAGTCTCATTGTCACAGGTCGGCTAGAACTATGAGGTGAGTGAAAAGCACTCACGTCATAGTTCTCCTTTAAACTCTTTTCTGTTCATTGTTTGTGGGGTTTTATTTTAAGAAATGGCATAATGTTGATGAATGTTTCATGCTGTGTACATGAAACATAAATTAGTTGAATTAAGTAGTTCAAGCCACACTTTGGGCAAAATGATAAATGTACACACTAGGGAAGTACACACCAAGTGACGAGGGAGCATGAAGCTGGCTTTCCGGCCAAATCAGGAAGCCAGACAGCATGTATAGACTCGCCGCCCGGCTTCCTGATACCGAAAGTTCCGGTATCGGGATAGGCATGGGGAGCATTTGGGCGAGTACTCGTACTCGCCCAAATACTGGGTATTAGCACTGATACTGATACAAGTATCGTTCTCGGTGCATTACTAGTATACATTGCCAAGGATGTGTAAATTATCATTAAAAAGCTGTGTGTTATGTGCAGAAGGCAGGTGCAAAGTATAAAAATCTTAAATGGCAGTATGCCGTCCCCCGCACAGAACGTCCATGTTTGTGTGTCACATATGATGTCACCTCCCTGCCCCCTCCTCTCCTCCTCCAATCACAGAAAGAGATTTAGTGAATGGAGGATAGTGAAGAGGGACAGGTGATACGACCAGAGCGCTGTACAGCTCAAGTCGCATCTCTCCCTCTCTTCAGTCCCCAAAAGCTGAGTGTTCTATGCAGGGGATGGCATGCTGGAAGGCAGTGTGTAAATTGTAATTTTTGTAATTAATACATAACTGGGTTAAATGTATTTAATATTTTTATGCTTTGCCTCTACCAATGCATTATTGACAGATCAAAAAGTTTATTGCTGTGGACAAAACACTGACGTAAGTTTCATTCATCAGTATACTGTGAAGAACTGCATTTCTTTCTCAGGACACTCCATTAGCGTTTCCTGTTTAGTTTCTAATGTGATAGAAGAATAAAAAGGAGAAGACTGGTGAAGGAGCTTATGAAAGCTGATAACGTGTTTCAGAATACTGTTCCTACCATAAACTAATCTAAGTAATATATGTAATATAATTCCAACTTGGAGTCCAAGTCACGTTCACCATAGCATGCCCCCTGCATCCTTTATTGCAAAGCTAGTGCCTCAACAGACTGCAGAGAAGCAAAAGTTTTGCATTGTGGGGCATTAGTGGGCCCTGCCAGAGCAGGTTCATTCAGTTCTTTGCCAAGGTTCAATGAACATGTAAGTGCCACATTTAATAAACACGTAGTGTATGACCAACTAATAAGTACAAAGTGAACCTCACAACGTCCGGAACATTTGTTCTATAGCTTTTAGAAAGATCCAGGAACTCCAGGCAAACAGCTAAATACAAAGATGAAATGCATAATGTATATGAAAGCAGTTTTACCTTTCAAAAAGTTTAGCATTTCTCTCTATCTAGGTCTGAGATTTACACATCTCTACCACACAGCACAACCCTGTCTGGCCGGGGAGGAGACCTGACTCTGCTGCAGTTTTACTTTCACTTGCAGGTCTCTTCCCCAGCTTACAAATGAACAGTGAATGGAGAAGCAGCACACTAATGAGCTCATCTCTCTGCTCTATTCTCCTACCAGCATCCTCCTTGAATTGTAGCACACCTGATTGGCTTCTTGTGCCACTTCTCCTTCCCCTTTTTGAGCTCTGCTATACAGGCACTATAGGAGGCCGACCCCAAGTCAAATTAGGGTACTTACTGCTTGCATTAAAGAAAATATTTAGGAATGGATTCATGATTTAAGCAGCTGCATTAATTTGTGTCTTTTTATCTGCCAGGGGTTTAGCTTTAGTTTGGCAAAAAAAAAACCTTATACAGTAAAATAATTCAGATTTATAATCAGTAAAATACTGGCTTGAATAAGAGCAACATAAGCCATCCATTAACAAGGCAAAATGTACAGTACTTGACTTACCAATAATCGAAGAATAAACCCCGTTATAATACAGGTTTACCTTTTGTTAGTTCAGCCTGTCTTATAATTAATTACCTGTAGGTCCAAGCACTTGGAGCTTCCCATTTTGTAAATTTATTGGTTGCTGTTGAAATAGAGAAGATGTTATCAGCATCCAAAGCTCCATTAAGAACAACCATAATAATATTCAGTTCATAAAGGCAAAAGAGATTGCATAAAATGCTTTATTATTATACAATGTAGGAACGATGGAAAAGATGATTTAGAAGCAAAAATGTCAAGACATACAGTATATAATTATCTCTTGTAATATTTTTTTTTACCTTATCTGCAAACTTTTGACTGTCGCACATACATGCTTTTCTAAAAAAGAAATGATAAATCATTATAAGAAAGTATGAACATTTCTAACTCCTTTTTGCATTAAGGTACAGACTCTTTAATAAGAGATTTGTGCACTTTAACACCAAGTGCATTTATCCTTTTGGTCTACTTTCTCTGCTCCGACAGGCCCAGTCCCCGTTGTTTGTTTACATCCTGTCGCAACCATCTTCCTCTCCTGGCCGCACCTGCGCAGTACATCCCCACTGACTTCTATGGGGCCGTCTATGAGCGGAAGACAGAGAAAGATGAGCCCCATAGAAATTAATGGGGATGTACTGTGCAGGGGTGCCAGGAGAAGGAGAGGTTCTCTGTACGATCGAAACAAACGGCAGAGGCTGAGCCCATCAGAACTCGTTAAGTATTCATCTGTGAAGGGGAAGTGTGGGATCGATTAGCTCAGTTTGAAGGATAAGTGCACTCTGTTTTAAAGTGCACTTATCCTTTAAATTATAAGGCCAAATGTCTGCACTTTCTAACTGAATTTACAATTACCAGAAAAACTAACTGATGAAATCAATGTGAATGCTGCATTATTCAAAAAAGAGCTCCACTTACCGAGTTTCAGCCCATTTTAACGAATCATCTTAAAAAAAAGCAATGACAAAAAAAGCATTTAGTAAAACCAAAATCATGAAGTGAAACGGTATTTTTGTTAAATGTACTTTCTACAAAATGCAGTGCGCACATAGTATTAAAGCAGAACTACAGCCAAAGCCTTTTGTTTTGCTGGGAGTGGGGAAGGGTTAGAAATTCTGTCTAGTTATCATGGCTCTTTGCCTCAATTGGGGAGATTTCCTCTCACTTCCTGTAACGGAGATGTAGCAGAAAGTGAGAGGGAATCACCCTAAAAAGAGAGGAAGTGCTGCCTTTGACCGTTGTCACCAAAATGGGTCCCCAGTGGGATACTGTATATCTCCTACCAGTTTCAATGGCTATTGTAAAGTTTTGGATTTCCAGTCACTTTCTGTCCCGGGGGCAACTGAAAACATGAGGGAATCTGCCAAATAGGGACACAAGCAAGCAGTGACAATCTGACAGAGGCTCCATCCCTTCTTCATTGCATTTAATACAAAAAAACTAGGGATGCAGCGATATATCGGCTGCCGCAACATATCGGCTGAAAATGGCACTTTTGGCATAATGTCGAAAGTGCCATTTTCTGGCCGATACAGTGGTGCATCCATTCTTTCTCTCATCCCCGCTGGGCACTGCTCTGTGTCCAGCTGGGGAGGAGAGAAACTGTCACAGGCGGCTGAGCACTGCGGGAGGAGAGCGCTGTGAGCAGCAGGCATCTCTCCTCCCCGCACTGCTCACCCTCCTGTCAAAGATCAGAGGAGAGCAGTGTGGGCAGAGACACCCTGCACTGTCACAGGAGGCTGAGCTCTCCTCCCGCTCCGCTCGCTCAGCCTCCTCTGACAGCTGTCAGGAAGGAGAGCGGTACAAACACTCAGCAATCAGTGATCTGTAAATAATTGAGGACAAAGTACGTTGACTATATCCTCAATTATGAATGAATTATAAATTACATTTTCATTTCAGTGCACCTCTAAAAAAAAAAACATTATGGTTGAAGTTTTACTTGAAGTAGATGTTTTTTTTATCATTCTTGTAGAACAGGAATTCTTGTTAATCTCAAAATGCCTAAAATCTCCTGTAGGGTTTATCTAAGATTAACTATACATGGACTGACCTTTCAAAAAGATGACAGATCTGGATCTATCAGGTTAAAGTAGATCTAAATCTTAAAGTGGAACGATATTTAGCTTGGTGAAGGAGGGTCCTGCCATATGTATAGAATACTTGCACATTATGGCACACTTACCTCGCAGTGCGCCTTCATCCAGTGGTGAAAGGAGCAGCCACCAGTTGCTGATCCACCTGACACTGCCACAATCCCCCGCTGCCTCCTTGTTGGGGTCCCATGGCATTCCACTTAGGCCACTGGATGGCCACTGGTGAAGCAATACTTGGCATGAACTGTACAGTGACATGAAAAAAAATTGCAAGCAGCACTGGACAAAGTTTTTTTTGGCAAAATGACTGCATGTCTCTTGCAAAAGAAAACAACCTAGCTTCTTGCAATTTTTCCCAAAGGGACCTTAGTTCTACAAATGTAAAGGCGGTTTTAAGCCGCAGGTACCGCTCCAAGCTCGAATAACTAACGAAAATGGGCTGCAGGTGCCAAGGCTCTCAGTGGACCCGTCCTACATCCATATCCCAAATGTGAAGACAATAGAGCCGCTCTACCACTGAATCCAAATGTCAGTAGTTTATAAAAATAAATAAATAGACACATTTCCTGCCGCATGCATTTAGTCAATAACTGGGCTCAGTCATAAAGGAAACAGGTAGAACACGTCAGGGATGGTACCTGTATAAGCAGGAAGATGTGTCCAGTCTTTGAATAAACTACTGACATTTTGGATTAAATAAAAGTCTGTTTTCACCTGTTACCGTGTGAGTGTTGCTGATCTTTTTCAGCCACTCCCTGTCTACATGCTCCAGAGCAGTTTCCAGTTAATGACAACAGTGGTCATGCTTGGACAATGTAAGTCATAATGGCCATGTGTAGTCTTCAGCAGGTCCCTTCATCCGGTGTCAGTGTTTCCCTGATGAAGGGACCATGTTCAGTTCTGAAACGTTGCTTATTGCACTCTGTCTTAATAAAAAGAACGTCCAGAACATTTGACCTTGGGGTGTGGGTGATTTTTTTTAATAGTCTCCAGCAGGGGCACATGTGACAGGATGAGACAACGTAGGACAATGCAGGAACACCACTAGGAGACAGTTGCCAACCGAGAACAGGAAGTGCCTGAAAAAAATCCTCCATGCCAGGATTACTAGATATTATTTTATTGAAAGCTGCAGATTTAAAATACATTTTGAAATTACATTGACATATTAAAGTTTATATAGGATTTTAGTGGGTGGGTTTAGATCTACTTTAACTGGATCAAGAAGGTAACTACAGAAAGATAAGGGTGGTCATATCACATGTAATGATTTGCCAACATGCTAAACTCTGATTCCTGAGCATCAGTACTATGAGGTTCCGTTGTTGAAATGGTACTATTGTCACTCGAATCCTAGCCATTACGGGTACTTTAATAGAAACTGGTCCAAAGCATAAGAATCGCCTTAATCTTTGTTTTAAGCTGGTGTGTTTAGCAAGGTCCTGCATATTTTCTTTGAAATATGGTCAATCTATACTTACCTTCTGGATCAAGCACTTCCAACTTTCCTGACACCTGAAAAATACAGATTTAGAAACTGTCAATTTCTGAATGATTGTGGCATCAATAATTAGCATTTTATCAAAACAAAGTAAGTATAATAATATAAATAAACCTGTAATGTGGGTACACAATATACATTAAGCCTACAGTTAAATAACAGGATAAACACATCATACATGCGGTGCCACAGGCCATCTTCCCAGAATGCTGCCTGGTTCTCTAAAAAAAAAAAAACTCTCGGGTATCCGTAGAATAGTCACAACACTCCCAGTGCAGTGAAAGGTTCCTGTGCAAACTATCACTAGTCCCAGGCCATGACATGCCAATGCAAATTTCAACCTTTGCAAAGTTGGTATTTATGGAGGAACTGTGTGTGGCTCCATTAGCGCTCCGGGGGGCTGCTCTGTTACAGTACTGGTAATAAGTGGCATCTCCTACACACATTAAAATCCATCGCACTCCTAACTGCTTTTCCATCGGGATAAGGTGGGTGCAACGGTAGTCGACGGATGACCACCGTCTCTATGAGATGAGAAAATCTAAACACTGGTACTCCAATAGCAAATAGAATACATCTATTTAATGACGTACATGCAAAAAGGCATAACAAGGCGTACATGCAAAAAGGCATAACAAGCTTGAGTGCCGGTGTCCATATTTCCTCATCGCACACACACACACACACACACACAAACACACACACACACTATGTATTTTGTAAGGACAAAGTACAGTAAAAGTGGTTTACTTTCGGCCAGTTTTAACTACAAATTCCATTATGCTTCTGCCTCTGGGAGTCAGGCCTGTAACTATCAGAATCTTCCAATGCCTCATGGGGCTTGTAGTTCTTTAGAGTTGGAGGGCTGGAGTTGCCCACTCTTGCTTTAGGCACGCTACCTCTGACTGAAATCTTATATGGAGCAAACTGAAAGGACGTAAAACTTGGGGAGGATGTCACTGCTCTCTGCAGTGTGAAACATTTCTGCTTAAGCTACTGAGCTCTGTTTTTACAACAAAATAGAGACAGACAGACAAGGAGCTGAGAGCTTTATCTGCTTGTATATGAAAATACAAAATATTCACATGTAACATTTAATTTCTGAATGTCATTTTCAATTCCTCACATGATAATGGAAATGTACATGCCAAACTACTATATACCGTATTCCATTTAAAGACTGATGGAAAAAACAGAAGCCTTCTGTGAAACAGACAATAATGCTGCAAGACTCAAGATGAAACATTTACACATATTTTCTGAGCAAAAGAAACAAACCACCTGTTGGCATAGCAGTATATGAAATCCAGGAACAGACACTGAAAGAACTCGGGTATACTGCAATGCTGTTGTGTAGAACACAATTCATCAAGAAAAAGGACAAAAGATGGAAAAAATGGCCATTTTCTAGTTAGTGTTCAGATCCTACACTTCCTTCCCCAAAAACCAAAACTATGATTCTTTACCTTGCTCACATGAACTCTGGAGACAAATCCACGAACATCACTCCTAATGAAGCAGAAAAATATTCATGTTTTCAATTTAAATCAGAGAAAGCAATGTAATGAGACTGATTCACAGCATTGTAGAATGTTAGAAAACAATGTTGAAATCTCTGATAGTTTCCATTCCTGCTGCTATGGCCAAATAATAACAGTGGACACTTCACAGTTTTGGATAGGATAAAGCGACGTAGAATAGGAAGCTCTGGACACTGCAGATCATTATTCAAAACGGAGATATTCACACTGCACACATCATTATATAAAACATGAATATGGTCACTTACAGACCAAACAGCAAAAAGTTGTATTCTGTTAGAAAAGTGTAGCATTTTAAAGAAGGACTCTGTCTTTTCACGGTAAAAAGCTACAGTTCCAAGACGCTTGATCAGCAGTTCTGCATTGTCAGTGCTGACATCAGCGGCCTTCATTCCCGTTGCTTGGACTTCTGGTTGGGAGTATTACTGTCAGATTGTTGAAAAAAAAAAAGAAAAGTAAACTAACCCTTTAAGTTAGCTCGGCATTACTCAATCAGGCAGGTAATAGGGAGCGTGGGGCAATTAAAGGAGCAGCTGGAAAAATAACATACACAGGGTAAAGCTGGCCATACACCTATAGATTATCTGCAGACAATTAACAGATTCCTCCATCTACTCTAAACTGTGTGGATGGAGGAATTTCCCACTGGGCCAAGCTTCAGTATCTTGCTAGTCGACCCCATTGACTCTCAAAATACCTGAACAATGCCTGCATCCAATAAGATTGTTCAGATATTTTGTATTTTGGGGGGAAGAGGGTGGTGTGGGAGAGGGAGAGTGGTGTGGGAGAGCTTTTATTATATCCTGGAGTTGGCCTTTAAAGACGTTTCTCACTCATTCAAGTGACTTTCTTAGTTCGATTGAGTATCAGGAACATACCCCACCCTTTGTACCCAACATGGCCAGCTTAGTCACCCTTACATAGCCATTGTCATGTAATAAAATGCGTCATAGCACATGCTGATTGTCCAAAACATGATTGGAGATGTCACAGGGTGTGAAAACACCCGGTCTTCATTTACATAAATTTACTACGGTTCTATGAAGTCTGGGCAATCTGACAACTCCTCATACCTTCAGGCATGTAACTCAAACATCTGTCCAAGACTTAATGCCACCATGGTAAACGGATTATGTACAATCGAATAAGGTGTTTTCACACCCTGTGCCATTTCTTGTCATGTTCTTTGCCTTGACACATTTTATGACACCATGGGAGCGATTTGTAAAACTTCTGCCCAGCATATAGCTGGCCGAATGCTGTTTGAAGGGCACTACAATCACTAGATGGAGCCGATGGGCATAGAAACACCCCTATGCCCCTTGTCTCAATCTACTGGTGGTAATGCTGCGTCAACAGCATTTGCTAAGATTTACGCTGGGAGGAAGATTTATAAATAAGCCCCTATTGTAACTAGATAAAAGTGACTTAGCTGCCCTTGTTGGGGATAAAAACTGGGTATGTTCCTGGCATTCATTGAACTAAGGAATCTCCCTATAGTGACACTAAACTCAGGAGTTAAATCTTAAAAATGCATTCAAGTACCTTAACTATTAATATGTATCTTATTTGTGTATCACTCGGCTGTAGATCCTCAAATAATTTCTGAATTGGTGCTGACACTGTTCTTCCTTCTGGAGGGGGGCTACTTTTGTTCCCCATGGTCCCTGTGTGTGTTGCAAAGTAGCCACCGCTCCAAGCTCACGCCCTTGAGGACTACAATCTCAATACAAATTAGTAAACTAAACATGAGGTTGTAGTCCATCATGGGAGTGAGCTGGGAGCGTTGACTACTTTACAACACACACAGGGACCATGGTGAACCAAAGCAGCCACGCTCCAGAAGCAGGGACAGTGTCAGCACCAAGTCAGAGATGATTTGAGGATCTACAGGGGAGTGATACACAAATAAGTGTATGTATAAAGTCACTCGCACTCCAGTAGAATTTCAAGTCAAAAACGGTTTATTGACTCGATTGCTATCACATCATATAGATATATGATGTGATAGCAATCGAGTCAATAAACCGGAGTGCGAGTGACTTTATACATACACTTATCTTGGATTGCAGAGGCATCTGCAGTCACTTTGGCACCCACCCGGCTCTAAGGGTATTATTCGGTCAGGAGTGCGATGGGTACACTGGATTTTGATACACAAATAATATACATTTTTGTTAATACCGGTAGTTAAGGTACTTGAATGCATTTTTAAGATATAACTCCTGAGCTTAGTGTCACTTTAAATTAGTGGTGAAACGTCTCCAACATTACATAACAAATCCGGTTAAATATGACTTACTACTAACTATACCATGACCAGGATTCATGAGAACCTTCACAGACAAGCACTGAAGGGTCGGTTTTCTATCCAAAATGAATAAAAATGTTGGCATTAGATATACTTTTGAATGGCAAATACAACATGTTATTGTGTGTATGGTGCTTTACCACAATATGGTAGTGTAAGTGAGCCCTTATTGTTCTTATAAATATAACAAATCACAGAATAAAATTTTGCAAGAGTTACTAATGTATATGAGCATATGAATGTGCATTGATCACACGCAAACAAGCAAATCCTATACTCACGGAATTCACTACTGTATATGTCTGCGATGTGCCTGAATGAGCATTTCCAGGCTACAGGTTATTTACGCAGACTTAAAGGAGAACTATGGGGTCAGTGTTTTTCCCCATAGTTCTCCTTAGGGTAACGGGAGGACACAAACTAGCGTCCTCCCGTTAACCTAAGCTCAGTATACCGCGAGCTACAGCTCGCGGTATACTGAGACGCCGCAGCTGGAGCGGATCCCGACGTAGATGACGGGATCCGCCCAGCTGCGTGAGTGACAGCTTGCTCTGCCTATCTAGAGGCAGAGCCAGCTGTACCCGCCCCCTCCCCCGTCCGTTCCGCCAGTCAGCGCTGGCAGATCGGAGAGGGGAATCCAGGCCTCCCCCTGTCACGGCAGAGAGCCGTGACAGGATCGAGAGGTGAGCGAACCTGATATGTGTTCGCTCACCTCGCGATCTACTTAGCCGACCTGTGACAGTCTCATTGTCACAGGTCGGCTAGAACTATGAGGTGAGTGGACTGGAAATCACTCATCTCATAGTTCTCCTTTAATAACAAGGGTGGTTTGTACGCTCCAGCATCTAAATGTACATCATCGAAGCTGAGGCGTACCTAAAATAAAAACAAGATGTTCTCTACTGTTTTGGGTTCTATCTAACTGGCCTTAGAATCTTTAAATGCACATACCATATACGCATAAAATTACATCAAGTACGCACAGCGAATGTTAAAGAAACCTATAGAAAACTCTTAAAAAGTAAAAAATCCAGAGTGAACCGTTCACGTGGAGCTCTGTGCTGCGTATGAACAATCATTCAAACAATATACAGTATATAGAATTTATCTGCTGGTTCTTGGAATACAGATTTCAGTGATATATA